GTAAGGCCATGTTACAAACTAGCTCTATGGTCCTTAGAGGAAAACTTGGTAGTTTAATACAAGCAAGTTTTTAATTCAAAATAGTTACTTTTTCTATCATATCAGAGCTCCATATGACAAGAATCTGATAATTTTTGAACTTGTCAGCAAAGATTTACAGGCTAAAATCTGTTTAAAAAACCCCAAACAAACAAGAAACAAAAAACAAACTACAAAACCATAACCAACTTCCTAGAACCTGCAACCCTTCAAAGAATATTACTAGTGCAACTGTAATTTTTGGTTAAAGAAACATAACTTACAAAAAGACTGGCTTTTAGTGAGATCTTTGAGTATCTTGGGCTGTGACAACTAGATTTCACCAGCTTTGATAAATAATAAAAGAGCTTGGCAAACATTCAGTTTTTCTAGTCCTCCACCTACACGGTTCTACAGTTCCTATCAATACATTATTTATATTTCAGGAGCATTCTCCACATGGTAATTGCCTTTAACACTGGTAGAAAAGAAGTCTCTGTTGCAAAGATCTTCCATTCCAAGACAGCAAGGGAAGAAAATGTTATTCTTTTTTAAAATAGGGATTCTTAATCATAATAAAAATGCAGGTTACAAGTAACGGAACAGCGATGCTGCCATTCTAAATGAAAATCTCTTAGAAATACAGAGTTTGAGAAAGGTGCTATGTATGGCAATATCTTTCACTGTCATCTTTGTTAAAACAGTGAAAGTTCATTAAAACAAAGCCTTAAAAGTAAAACCCATCTTGATAGCTTCTACATCTTCCTTGCTTTTTTTTTTCCCATTTATTTGTTTCTCTTTATTCTTTTCACTATATACCTAATATTCACTCCTCTTAACACAGTATTTCTCATTCTGTCACTATGTCCTTACTAAAACAGTCTCTTTATCACCACTTACACTGCAGGATTGACCCCAGGAATTTTCTGCAGTGTCTGACTATGTGGCTCAGGGATGGGTGGGTATATACCATACATCTGCACTGACTGTCCTGGATCAATCTCCCTGATTGCTCAGCGCCCAGAGAAGAGATCTCCCCTGATGTAACCCCACAAAGTACAACTGGAGTTTCAGAAAGGTCTTGCACTGTTGGAAATGAGATTTTCTTAACAGCTGCAACACAAAAAGGCATGTTGTGTTGAGGAGTTATCATGGAAGGCTTTATGGGATGATATGCCAAACTGGCAGCATCACCAGTGTGACAAAATGATTCTGATTAAGTTCTTGGTGATCCTTAAAGTTTGACAAGCAAGAATGGTGGTAATTTAGAAAGAGCAGGAAGACACATAACTCTCAACCAACTTTGTTTTTGAAAACATTCAGCAGTGGAGTAAGATGCTAAAACCAAAATTATTATGGAAGTTTTTTTCAGTCTTTCTATTCTATATACTGTTGTTGATGCCATTCCATTATCTACTTATCTTTTCAGCGGAGAAAAGAATGACATCATTTAAAGATGGTAATCCACCTTTTTTTGGAAATAAGGACAAGGAACCTCGCTTCTTTCTGTTTAATCCCCAATGGCATCTGCAATAAGAGCATCTCCAGAGGAAGGCAAAGACACAGCAACAGTATTACAGAAAAATTATAAATTTAAGCACATAATTTTGGAAACAAGCTATGACAAAGTAATTCTCTCCAGATAATTATATTAAATTATAAACACAAATACAACCTTTTCAAACTGAAAGGCAAAGTAATAAACTATTGACTATTCTTGCATGAACCAAGATTTAATTTTTCTACTTTCTTGCTTCATCCTGAGTTTTTATGCAGCACATGCTGATGTTGGCAAAGGCTCATATGCTTAATTAGTTACACCCAAGATAGTCATATGAATAAGCGTTTGCTGAACCAGTACTCCAGCACTTTCATTTTGTACCTTTTTTTCCCCATTTTATTGATTGCAGTCCATACTTGCAATGAAGAATTAAAATATCTTCCTTCTCTATAGGTGGAGTTACTGATTCCATATGCACTGTATCTCCACACTCTTTAATGAAATGCCTATCTGGTGGGGAAACAGTATCAAAGGCTTTCTAGGCAGCAGAATAATTTTCAGATTTTTGCTCATTCAATATTTAATCAATTGTTCCCTATTTGTTCCTATTTAAAACAGACTGCTGCAAGTTAATTACTGTCCCTTCAAATATGGGGGTTTTGTGTTTTTTTGATATGGAGATTGAGTGAAAGCTTAAGGCATTCATTTATCAAACAGTCCCCTCCCCACAAATCAACAGAAGGAGAAAACAAACAAACAAACAAAAAAACAATAATAAAACAAGCAAAGCAATTAAAATGAAAAAATTCCCCCCAAAATAAAAATATTCCTTTCTTCCCTTTCTGAAGTAGAAGACAGATTGAAGAACATACATTCCATCCGATGGAAATGAGATCTGCTAAAGACTACTGACTGCAATACAACTTAATTAACATTATAGATATAAGACACGTGTAGGAGGGAACAATCTAAGAGCTGAAAGAATGTCAACTACTTGGTAGTTCAATATTTGATTTGTTCATTTTTATTCTGAGCTAAGAAGTTACCCTCCTTCTAGTATGTCCCTCGCTGAATAATTCCAGGAAAGGTAATAAGTGTTTTGTATTCAGATCAAGACTTTTCTATTTTTCCTACTGAGAAAACTCCCCTTTTCAACTGCTTTACCTTGAGTCATAATGAGCAGAGAGGTGCAGTATTCAGAGACCCAGAATTGAAAGCACCACCCATGTGCACAATACAGCAGTCGTATTACGCCAAGCTTTTTACCCCACTTGAACCCAGATAAAACCTGCAAGTCCTCTTTTCTGCTGTTAATTCTCAAATGAAAGTAAACCAGCGACTAAACCACTTCAGGACTTTCAATCTCTGTCACGCAGCCATGCTTGATCTCTGCAGAAGGCCCCAGCCATGGCCCAGTTTCATTTCAGGTCACATACCATCCTGTGCAATAAAATTGTGTTTTTCTATTTATACCAACAAAGTATTCCACCCAACACAGCAGTAGCTGCACGTTGTCTGCAGAAACTCAAAAGATTATGTTGACTACCTATAGTTGCCACCCAGTTAACAAGAATATAAACTCAACTTCAAGAATAAACGTACCAATGTTTCATAAGAAACCTTGGCATAATATATAGCTCGCGGGGGGGAACAACAACCAACCAACCAATTCACATGGTGCAGAGGACTACCCCAAAATATCAACTGTACACACAGAAATTTGATACTAGAAGATCACCAAATCAGTGCTTACCTGAGTACTCTACCAAATGTAAACAGAGAGGACTGACACAAAGACCTCCAGAGAAGTGATCTTGGAAAGCACTTTTTCAAAATGCAATACAAAGTATAACCTAAACTAGCAGAGAAAACTAAGGTCACCATTTTGTTAATCTGTATTAATCTGCATTAATTCTAAGAGAGTTGATAGAAGTCCTCTATCTAGGGGTATACGTCTATTTAGGTGTGATTTAGTATAGGGTGGTTTTTCAAAAATATAAAGAAGATTGGCTGACAGCACAAATCAAAGCAGAACAAAGAACTACAAGGGGCCATTTACAGCTCTATATTTGTGAGTCTAAGGACCAGAAATTTTAAAAACTAACTTAGTCACCAAAATCTGACTGAAATGTCAACAGCACTGATATCTTACTCTCTGAAACATCACAGATTTTAAGTGCTTTTTCCTAGCAATATAGGACTGGTCAGAGAGAAAGTTACTCTAGCACTGTATACCTACCCAAATCACACACTTCTTTGGAAGCATCATAATTCCTCAAGACAATAACGCATTTACTCTGTTTCTTCACTTTACCCAATGTAAGAGTCTGACAGAGATTAGAAGTTAGGTGTAAGTAGCTACAAATCAACTGAAAAGCATAAGATACAACAGACTTGTTTCCTATGGTCCTGATCCACAAAGATGCCAACAGTGGAGCTGCGATAACTCACCCAAGTCAGGATTTTCCACTTTACTGTGAGTATCCAGAAACATGGCTCCCCTCCCTCTAATCTTTTTTTTTCTTAATTGCATTCATAATTTACAAAGCAAAATGTAACCTTTCTTTGTTTGTAACTCATATTTTCCTGGTCTTCATCTTTCTGGAGAAAAGCCTAACAATGTCAGGTTTTGGAGTCTGAAAAAACAAAATAACAGCCAAATTTTCTACTAAAACAAAAGTGTTTACACAAGTCCCACTTGGGAGGAGTGGAGGGGTGAAGCCACTCAAAGGGATTTATGCATAGAGATTTAGTTAACATTCATCTTGCATCTCATGTTAAAGGTTCGCTACCACTCTAGACTACCACCTGTACATTAGTAGTAATATAGAATGGGAAAGAGGATTTCCAAGTCCATCATCCTGACCTTGCCAGAACACTCTCTCCCAACTATCTTTAAAAAGGAAGGGCCAGTAAATAAGACACACTAAACCTATGGCTCCACATAAAGCACTTCAAGTGAAGTATCTGCCAACATGCATATTAGAAATTTTCTCAATAGTGGGTTTTGCATGTTTGCACAGCTGTTATAGATAAATGCTATCACTGCTACTTTTTTGTTTAAATATAGTATATCATTATTAAATCACTATCTTCTTCCCCTCCTCCTCTCCCAATCTGGTTCTCTGACTTTCACTTATTTGCATTCCTCCTCACCTTTCATTTCCTTTATTATCTAATACTTTTCCCTACCACTTCTGCTAGTCTTTCCAATCTCTCTTTTTGATGTATGACTTCGTATTTTCCATTTTATTTTGTGGTTTCCTTATACTTCACTCTCTGCCAACTTGACTTTTTTCTTTTTCCTTACTGTTCATAAGAATCAGAATCACAGAATACCTTGGGTTGGAAGGGACCCATACAGATCATTGAGTCCAATTCCCTGCTCGTTGCAGGACTACCTAACACTAAACCATATGACTTAGAGCAATGTCCAAATGCCCTCTGAAAAATGACAGGCTTGGTGCTGTGACCACTTCCCTAAAATATGGAATATTTCACGAATTTGCATGTCATCCTTGCACAGGGGCCATGCTAATCTTCTCCGTATTTTTCCAATGTTAGTACACATGCTGCCAAAGTGAGGACAATTGGCTCTCTGTCTGATGTCTCCTCTCCTTTTCCAGTAACCCCAAATTAGCAGACCGGCTCAGTAGACAGCAGCCTGTCTGTGGCTCATTCCATCAGCTTAACCACCATGCAGAAAGTGAAGCCTCAAGAATTTAATCAGTTTGCTGCCACAAGACCAGTGTTTGCAAAACCGAAATATGAAGCAATTAAGATATGAAACTATGGCTAAAACATTACAGGCTCATGGTGAATGCTCTGAAGGCCAAGTCATTCACAGCTGAAACAGAGTAGCACAAAGTTTTTTCTTGTGGAAAATTAGATTTTTCTCTTATTAAGGAAGAGCGCAAGGATTTTTACCATGACTGCTGTGCCACTGTGCACTATGGCAGTGCTGAACACACCATCACCAACTTCCTATTAACGATCCTTCTTCCTATAAATGACAAAAGCATCTCATCTTGTTAATTAACCTGCCCTGTCCCCAGCTGGGTTACAGCACAGCAGCTCCCTGAGAGGCTTCAGAGGCAGTGGGTTAATGGATGGCTACTGTCCACATCGAGGTTTAGAAGGCTGGTCTCCACCACCTTCAGTAGGGTATTAATTCCATTATTCTTGGACCCAAAAATACAGGACTGACAGCTGATGTGGAAAATCACTGGCTTTTCTGAAAGCCGATTTCATTGATTGACTGTACTCACAGCTGTGAAATTCTTTTCAATATTCAGCTTAATTATGTCTTTGCTGAGGCTTAAAGACCATTACTTCTTGAAATCCTTGTCACGGTCAGCCATCTAAATGTGTTTATTTTGCAGTGCATGAGTAAGTGATGCAACTAATCACAATGCAAGTGTTACACAGCTTCACTACAATTTTGTTGTCTGGCATAATGAGCAAGCTCAGAATAGGTGCTTGCTTGTTGGTGCTGTCTCTCAGAGAATTTCCATTCATTTAGTAACTCCAGGCTGGCAGCTAAATCAATCATAAATGGCCAAAATGCATCCATCCACCAAATCCACAGACCTTCATTTAGGCATATACAGTTCAAAATACACACAAGCTCTCGTTGTTAAAAAATTTTGTTTTTCAAGATTAAAATCCATAGACAAGCTGAAGACCTGAAAAATATGATCAGAAGAAGTGGAGACTCCTACCATTGGCCTGTCAACAGCAACAGACAGATGAGAAAGACACTGTTGGCAGAACAGCACACAGCTACCTTTCAACACAGCACGGAAAACTGGGCCTGAATCTCAGAAAATAGTTTCGCACTTGTGTTTGCAAGTGCCAAAAGTAAGCGTGAACTCTCTTTCTTTTCTGGTGCTAAAATTGTGTTAATTTAAATTTGTAAGAATATCTTCTGGCCAGACAAGGAGACTTTCTCAAATGAAGTATTTTCTGATGTTCAGACTATCCTAGCACTGGGCAACCAGGTTTGCTCCCTTCTGAGCACAAAATCTTGTGAAGTATTTCCCCTGTACCTCCCTGAGAAGACAGCCTGCTCCCTGTTTTTTGAGCTGAAAGTAGCTTTCTCCACTTAGGATGAAACCCCACAACTGTCAACCTTTAACTTTCTACTTTCAACTCAACAACCTAAGGAAAGCGTATACACAGTCTCTGCAAGAGGCTGAAGGAAAATCAACTTATTTCCTGCCTCCTGGTGAGTCACAGCAATGCTAGAAATATAGATTAAATAAAATAAATATTTATTTTTTTACATTTTCCTACATGTTTTCCTCGAGGCTACAGATCCTTTGGAAGTCCCTGAGCAGTATTAGTTCTTTTCCTGCCCTCTCTGCTACAGTACTATATAGAGTAACATAGAATTTGCTTAGTCTTCCTTAAAACAGGTGAAACCGCCAACTGACAGAAAATTAACTTCCTTTGGTATGTATAGTGAACTCACGCAAAATAAACTGGGAGCTCAAAGCACTGCTGAAATGTATGAACTGTGGGGGAATATACAAAAAGTAGGGAACAGGAAATAAACAAGAACATATACACTACTATGAAGGGCACAGAAGAAATAATGCAGTTAAGCAGGAAGTCCATTATGAAGAGAATAATTCAGAAGAACACACATTTGAGTACAAAATGCAAATAATTGAGACAGGAAATAAGAGCTTAAAATTAATTATTATATTTTGCGAAGGCAGAATAAATGCAACTAGATCACACTGGTCAGTTCCTTGTGGCTTGGCGGGTTTTTTGGTTTTGTTTATGGCTTTTTTTCATCTTCACTAGTACATTCTCACACTTCCCATGCCCTCCCAAATCAATCAAAAATAGTAATTAAAAAAAACCAAACTTCAACATTCCCAATAAGCCTGCGGGTAACACCACATAAAACGTCATGGAAATAGTTAGCAGAAAAAAGGTCAGCTATCATATAAATGACTGCCTCTCAAAGCACATATGTTCAGGACCTGGGTCCTGGTTTCCTACAGGACAGAGACTTTCAGTAGAAGTCACTGTGCTGTAAACATTATCGCACCAAATGATTTTAAAGACCAGTTAAAAGCTATTGCCTGTGACAGACCAGGTAAACCAAACAATCTGTGTTCTGGGACTAATCAAACTGCATTTGCACTTGAAATATTTTGACCTCGGTCCCAATAACTGCTCCCAGCAGAGGTCCAGCAATGAACACCGAAGCCCTTTTTCTCCTGCTTCTGTCCAAGTCCACAGATGAGCTCCTGCATGTGCCTCTCTCTCGCAGTTAGAAAGGCAAAACATCTCTGCAGACCTCAGTAACAACCTCCAAACTTGTCTGCTAGAGGGCAGGAGGAAAAAAAAGACACAGAATCTCTTCCAACAGAAGCAGATTTGGTAGCCTCCAAGAAGCAGATGATGTAGTAAGATGTAAGGACAGGGCTCTCACAGTTTTAAATCATGAGTAAATGTCAGAAAATAACAGACAAAGAGAAGGATAAGCACAAAACAAATTCTTAAAATGTCAAGTGTCTTCCTGCAAACCAGATTACTGCAGGGCATGGGGCGAGCCAGGAGCAGAAGTACATGAGCTTAAAATGCAACAGCAGCAGTCCATGAACAAGAATAGAGATGATGTTCACCAACTCCATGTTTGCATCAGGATTACTTCTTCAGATCTCAGCAACACTTGCAGCAAAAGCCCCATTCCAGTATGGCTCCCCTCCCATGGACTACTGAATTTCATTTTCACTGCAGCACAGCACACCAGAATACTTCATAGTGTTTGCTTTGGTTTGGTTTTAAAACTGGTCAAAAGATACTACACATGCAGAGCATCTTTTAAAGAGAGCTGCTTCAGCAATCAACAGTTCAGTAATAAACAGCTGGACCTACAGCTTTGACTCCTCTAGTACAAGTGCTTATGAATCTTGGAAAGAATTTTATTACATATTTCTTTATACTAGATGTGCACTGAAAGCCAATTTTCTTCCAGTAATGCTTTTGGAGACAGTTCACTTTTCCTCCAAAAGTTCTATTAATCTTGTAAAAGAGCATAATAACCTGAATCCAACCAGATATAGTATAAAATATTTCTGCAGTTTGACATATTTTTAATTCACTTTGATGTCTGAGCCACTGAGCATTCACTTCCACAATCATTCACACAATTAGGTTTACGGCAGAACACACATGCTAAGCTTCCACAGAAACTGAATTTAAAAACTGGTTACCAATAGAGATTCTCACAAAAATCTATAATACAAAACTGGTTCTCAGCCAGATCAGAGAAGTTAACAGATAATTGTACTTATCTAGTCTGGAACAGGGCAAAGGAGTTAGCATCCTGGGTAGCAAAATCGAAGCAGTAAGGCCCCAAATATCAGAGTAATTCTGAGAAATGTAACATTTGGAGAAGGCTGGTGCTCTGCCAGTCACACCATGAACAGAGGAAGACAAAATTCATTAAATAAATTATTCATTAGTATTTAACAACTCAGCACAGATCCAATATTTCTTTTTTGGCTATAAGAACTGTGCTACAAATCCATCCATTTGTAACTGCACTACTGAAAAAGCTAATGTCATTTATTGACAGGTTAATTTATAATGTCACCTTAATTAAAAAAATATTATCTTATCACCTTCTGACTGAAATGAAACTGCAGGTGATTGGGAACAATGTACCTACAGGCTAATGAATGATTTGAAGCAATTCAATGTCCAATTAACACCAGCATCTGGTTTGGGGATTTTTTTTTTCCCTGTCAAAGCATTAGCCCTACATTCATTATACTTTTAGTTAGTAGTAACAGAAATTTTCAATCTCAACATTATCCTTCAAGCTAAAATACAGAAGATAAAATAGTCAAGACCTGGAATTCGCACAACCAGATGCAAACTCCCTACCACTTGTAGGCATGTAAAACAGGGTAGGAAACTTTTCCTAGCCTGATTTCAACAGCTCCCAACACAATACTAACTGGAGAAACGAGATAAGTGTCCCTTGCACCCACGACACAGGAACTGTGGCCCATCTGTTTCCAGCTGGAGGATCCTCTCTGAAGCCAGATTCATGACATACCAAACTTGGCTTGGTCAAGAAGGTGGCTTCTTGAGGCTTTTTAAACTAATCTTTGCCAATAAAAAGATTAAATAATCCAGTCATCTTCAAGATTAAGCACAGCTGGGAGATTTGGGACTGGGGGATTTAGGGTGTCTGGAAAAAGTATCCTTTGACTCAATACAATTTCAGAGCACGTGAAATGAGTGGACCAGTGTTTGCCTCCCGCCCACTTACTAACACTGGATTTAGATTAGTCAATATGCTTTTTGCCAATAAAATGTTCACCACTACTAACTCTAAGATAAAAAATGAGAGCAATTATTTAAGTCCAAACGTGGCTTGGCATTTTAATACTGTAAGCATGGGTGGATTTAAGAGTATCTTGTTCACATATCACATGCTATCTCTGTCGTTTAGGAAAGGTATAGTATCATTTCCTTAGGGTATTCTTGCAACTACATCAGGCAAGAGATGTTAAATTGCTGTACCAAATGGTCACTTGCAAACAAAACAAGTACTCATT